TCATCAGTTCAAAACTAGAGATGACCTTCTCAGATAGTCCATTGTATAGGTTTGCGCAAACATTATGTGACAAAGAAGCATAAAACTATTTTAATATTTTGATTCATGATTACTTGAATTATATTACCAAGAAAAACTATTTCGTAAAGTGAGAAAAACTATTTGGAAAGCTTGACTAATAAATAAAACATATTTTATTTTGTTTCATTGTTGTATTTAAACTTTTCTGGTTCAAAACTCTTTTTGATATCTTATCCCGTTTCGTTGTTGTTTCTAGTTCAAAACTCTTTTTGATATCTTATCCCGTTTTGTTGTTGTTTCTGGTTCAAAACTCTTTTTGATATCTTATCCCGTTTCGTTGTTGTTTCTGGTTCAAAACTCTTTTTGATATCTTATCCCGTTTCGTTGTTGTTTCTGGTTCAAAACTCTTTCTGATATCTTATCCCGTTTCGTTGTTGTTTCTGGTTCAAAACTCTTTTTGATATCTTATCCCGTTTTGTTGTTGTTTCTGGTTCAAAACTCTTTTGATATCTTATCCCGTTTCATTGTTTTTTTTTCCTAATTTTATAATGTGTCTGTAACTGTGTCTTAATCAAAACGCCTCCCAGTGGCACAACGGTATGTCTACGGACTTACAAAACTAGAAACCGGGTTTCGATACCCGTGGTGGGCAGAGCACAGATAACCCATTGTGTAGCTTTGTACATGATTAAAAATAAACAAACTTAAACAAAACATATGTTATTTTCCAGAGGAAAGACTAGTTTCGATTAATCTATGTTATTCAAATCATTTTACACACAGAGCATTTCTTAATAAACTAGTATTAAAAGCAAAAGTGAAAAAAAAATATATATATATACCAATCTCCTTAAACACTTCTGTTGGGTATTATAGATATTTATCAAGATACTAGTTTTAGTTTATTACATTATTTGTTAATAATAATCACTGTTTTAATAACTGACGCTGTATTTGAACAGTCTACTGCTTTAAAATCTACCAAACAGTTTGTCTAACTATTGATATGTATATCATGAAAACAATCTGTTTATTTTCTTTAAACTGCTATTGTCTATTTCTCTATCCTGCATATTTATTATTATTGTTATTATCAAAGATAGACTATTTTCTGGACGAAGAGAATGATTGGGCTATTGATGTCAAGGAGTTAAGGAGGGCAATTAGAGAGTCCAGAAAACACTGTGATCCAAGAATGCTGGTGGTTATTAATCCTGGTAATCCGAGCGGTAAGTGTATATTTATATTGGACTTTCATTTCTCAAGTTTATTCAAATTATTATTAAACAACACACTGTAAAAGTAATTCGACATTTCACTAACATTGTTTATAGGAAATATGGGAGTTCTTGGGAAACATATCGTTGTTTAAGAGTTTTATTTTAATAAAAAAAAATATTTTTATTTAGTAACACAAGTTCTCCTTAAGACTCCTAAATGTGAACAAGGGATCTTCAGTCTGGCAAGAGGCCCGTCATGACCAGGTGGTTAGAGCACTCGACTCGTAATCTGCGAGACGCGGGTTTGAATCCCCGTCCCACCAAACATGCTCGCCTTTTCAGCCGTGGGGGCGTTATAATGTGACGGTCAATCCCACTATTCGTTGGTAAAAGAGTAGCCCAAGAGTTGGCGGTGGGTGGTGATGACTAGCTGCCTTCCCTCTAGTCTTACACTGCTAGATTAGGGACGGCTAGCGCAGATAGCCCTCGTGTAGCTTTGCGCGAAATTCAAAACAAACCAAACCAGTCTGGCAAGGTGTATAACTAGTAATGCACCATTTGCTAAGGTTTTTATATTACCTAATTAGTAACCCAGTGATTAGTTAACATTAAATTAATTAAATAAGATATATTTTAGGATGAAGCTTTCTCTACCTAGAATGGCAACATCTAATAAACTTTATGAGTTGAAGATTCTTAAAGAGTAAAATGATAAATATTTTATTAGTAATGTTCTAATTTAGAAATAAGTATATAAGTAAACTGGATTGGGGTATATAAGTCTCTTTGAAGCATGGTTACACTAGAAACAGTGTTGTATTTGATGTAATGATACACAGTTCTTGTCATACGTTGTCAGTAAAAACTGCCTTTTCACAGTAGAATTGCCCCCCCCCCTCAGTGGCACAGCGGTATGTCTGTGGAATTACAACGCTAGAACCCGGGTTTCGAGACCCGTGGTGGGCAGAGCACAGATAGCCCATTGTGTAGCTTTGTGCATAATTACAAACAAACAAACACAGTAGAATCACAGTGAAATGTTACGATACTACACTGAAATTTTACTTTAAAGTTAGTTTGCTGTAAAATATCGGTGTCAATTTCACTTCCTTTTTTTACAAGTTATTATTTTACAGTGACTACGGTTTATGTATGATATATCATTGACAACTGTATCGTCAGACTTCACTCCTCATGCTGTTTATGTATGATATATCATTGACAACTGTATCGTCAGACATCACTCCTCATGCTGTTTATGTATGATATATCATTGACAACTGTATCGTCAGACATCACTCCTCCGGCGGTTTATGTATGATATATCATTGACAACTATATCGTCAGACATTACTCCTCGTGCGGTTCATGTATGATATATCATTGACAACTGTATCGTCAGACTTCACTCCTCATGCGGTTTATGTATGATATATCATTTACAACTGTATCGCCAGACTTCACTCCTCATGCGGGTTATGTATGATATATCATTGACAACTATATCGTCAGACTTCACTCCTCATGCGGTTTATGTATGATATATCATTGACAACTGTATCGTCAGACATCACTCCTCATGCGGCTTATGTATGATATATCATTGACAACTATATCGTCAGACTTCACTCCTTATGCGGTTTATGTATGATATATCATTGACAACTGTATCGTCAGACATCACTCCTCATGCGGCTTATGTATGATATATCATTGACAA